GTGATCTTAAATTGTTAATTTTTTTTGCAATTTCAGTTGTTAGTGGTTGTCCCGTTAATTCTTTGTACTAATTACAGATTATCTGTAAAGCTTGATCTCGTTTCATACGATTATGATAATCAACACTTTTTGTAACATATAAACAAGAATGTTGTTGATATAACATTAATAAAATTTTAACATTTTCCTTATTATCCATTTTTTATTATAAAAAAAGTTTTTTCTGAAAATCAATTTTATATATTATTATACTTTTCTTGAAAAATAATATGTATATATAGGTTATAATATATTTTTAATGTCTAATTTAATCTGCATTAAAACTAATAATAACTACTTATGTAAATCTTATTAATTATTAATCTTATTAATTTATTTTATTTAAGAATTATATTTCTCTTATTTTTTCAATTCTATAATTACTTACTAAAATATTATTTATATTGTTCACAGTGGGTGTTTACGATAATTCAAGTTCGAGTTAGTTTCACTAGGACCGAAAAATGAGATAGACATAACCATCTAGAATCTTTATGATTTATGACAACTCAACGCTGTCTTGTATTGCTTGAGTTAAATTAATTGAATTTGTTGAGTTTATAGAGCAAATTTTATTGTAATAAAAAAAGGTTAACTGCAAATCAGTCTATGAAAGAAACAAATAATGTTGGTATGTATGTTGGTATACCTCTTTAATAGATATAATTATATATATATGTATATAATTATATTTATTAAACTCAACAAATTCAATGAATTTAACTCAAGCAATACAAGACAGCGTTGAGTTGTCATGAATCATAAAGGTTCTAGATGGTTATGTATATCTCATTGTCGGTCCTAGTGAAACTAACTCGAACTTGAATTATCGTAAACACCCAATGCAATGACGTCATTAATCAATCGAATAATCAAAAACGCTATTAGTATCTTAAGACAGTACTTAAGTAATCTTGGAATAAGAACGGACTATGAATACCGCCCTGGGCATCGATCATGTAATTTTTACCTATGAAACGTGAAAAGTAAAAATTTCACGTGAATTCAACAAATAAAATTGTCAAATTTACATAAAAGTTTTCACTTTTCACGTTTTCGCTCCTAGGGGAAAATTACATGATCGATGCCCTGAATATGACGATACAGAATAGTAACATCAGAAATTTAATTTTCTAGGGAGTTAAATTATTTATAAAATAAGATATATTATGATGCGGAATTATTATTTTATTGCATCAAAGATGCAATATTAATTAAAAAATTGGGATAATAAAATGTATTTCTTGCATTTTATTCACCGTTCCTATTCGTATATGCGTATAGAGAGTATAGGATTATTTGATTTTTGATTGGCATACCCGACATACATAGGAAGTCACATGGGAGCCGATTGCTTTTTCTTTAAAAGCGTAGTGTTGAAAGGTGTGTATGGGCTAACCTGCCATATTATTCAAATCTGCTCGCATCTAGCTTAATATTGAAATATTCATTCTACGAAAGGTAATTTCTCAAACAGAAAACTTCGAATTATCACGTAAATGCAAAAAGTATTGTATTTGTTCACAATAATTGTCATAAAACTACTAGAGAAATACAGCATGATGCGAGCAGATCCGACTTACCCGTCATATTTATGATTGTAGAATGCCAATTGAAAGACAATACATGATCTGTTTATGATTTCAGGACACAATGGGTCGTTATTCCCACGAACCGGTCAATCAGACCAAATCTTGTAAAGCGCGCGGATCCAATCTTCGAGTGCACTTTAAGGTAAATAAATTTGCTTGTAGGAAATCTAACCTCAAATTCGAGAACTAATGCTCATGAACAATTGTGATATAATCTGCTTTTCTTTCATACGTTATAGAACACTCATGAGGCAGCCCGTGCTGTTAAGAACATGCCTCTACGGAGGGCACAAAAATACCTGAAGAACGTCATCGAACATAAGGAGTGTGTTCCCTTCCGTAGATTCAACGGTGGTGTTGGCAGATGCGCTCAAGCAAAACAATTTGGCACTACGCAAGGTACGTTGTACATCATTTTTACGTCTATTTTTCAATTACTATACGTCCATACATCAATAATCAAATAATTGGACTATTAAAATGTTTAATGTGAAAAAATATCAAAACAGAAGCTTGGAAAATTTGGTTAAACAAAACGAAAAAGTCGAATAAGAGAATAATTTTGCATTTTATATGAGCCTAAATAAATTGGAAAAAAATAAAGTTTGCTTTGTATTTTAATTTTATGTTTATTTTCTAAAGTGGAATCTAATTAAAAGATAAATTTATAGCAGCTTTATAATTATCTTGCTATGCATTGTAATTATTTAGGTCGTTGGCCTAAGAAGTCTGCGGAATTTCTACTACAACTTTTAAGAAATGCAGAAAGTAATGCGGATTACAAAGGGCTCGATGTAGACCGTCTTGTGATTGAACACATTCAAGTTAATCATGCGCCTTGCCTTCGTAGAAGAACATATAGAGCTCATGGTCGTATAAATCGTAAGTGCATATATTAAACTTCCATAATTTACATATATTGAAGTTTCTTAAAAATTTATTTTTTTATTGCTGACTCATAATTCTTACAGCTTATATGAGCTCGCCTTGTCATATTGAAGTAATACTGACAGAGAAAGAAGACGTTGTTGCTAAAGCAACAGAAGAAGAGCCATCAAAAAAGAAACTTAGCAAGAAAAAGCTTGCTAGGCAAAAGGAAAAAATGATGAGAGAATAATTTCATGCTTTATATGCTATTAAATGTACTACAAAAAGTGAAGAAATGGATTCATAAAATAATTCGATGTTTTAATTTTCTTCCTAAATTCTTAGAATCAACGTAACTGACATGTATTTAATTGCACTGTATATAAATATACTTATTATAAATTTAGTTATGAAAGATACAGAGAAGGAAAATTGGGAAAGAGTATAAAAAGCACTTGTTTTAAAGAATATTTTACTTTTATATTTTTCTTTCAGTTTCTTTTTACATTTACATGTTACAGTCAATCTGTATGAAGTTATGCGTGTCGCAATATAAAATAATGAGAATTATTAATGATAAGGAAATTTTTATTCATTTACTATATGTTTCGATTCAATTTAATTATTTCTAAATTAATCACTGATTAATATCAATATATGTATAAAATTCAACTAATGCGTCTAACTCTGTTGCATTCTGTATCAAAATAAATGTTATATTCTCATTTCATCAATAAACTTATAATGTTTTGCTTAAAACGTATTTCCCCTAATAAGGACTATTACAAATACTAGAAATTCTAATTTCCTACTTGCAAAATGGAAATTTTTTTAAATTTTACTTTACAGTGTAAAATTAAAAAGTAATAAAATAATATGATATTCAGGGATTTCAAAAATTTGACGACACTTGTACTCTATAAAAATACATAGATGGTCGCAGCCTGTTGTCTGAAATAAAATATTAGTGTGGTCAAGAAAGTGGTTCGCGTGTTGTATTTGGTAAGAATAAACACAGCAAGCCTCCACCTGTAAAGCACATAAACTGTAAAAATTAAAAATAAAATTGAAAAAAGAAAATTTAATGTGTTCTTACCAATTAGGAGTGCAGCCACTATGAAGGTCGGTGCCGGACAATACATATCCAAGAGCTGAGCTATAACTATGTTACCTATTATCCCACCTAGACGTGCAGCGACCATCGATATAGCGATTCCGGTTGCACGCAATTGCGTTGGAAACACCTCAGTGATGAGACAATCCAACGCTGCATTACCACAACTTATCGCACCACTGAAGATAGCCGACACGACCAAATTCTGATATTTGTTATACACAAAGTATAAGCCCACTGAACATAATCCCGATGAAAATGTGCTGAACACTACAAAGAAGTTTTAATTTAGATAAGTATTAATAATGTTGTATTGAAATACTTTTCTTTTTGCGATTTATATTACTATATTGTCCTTTTATATGTGCTTTTAAATAATTTGAAATAAACACCTAGAAAAAATTTGCGCCCAAGACGATCCATTCCCAAGATAGCGATGATATTAGCAGGTATGGCGGATGCTACCGTAATAAGAGACTCCATGAAGACGGATTCTCCAATCTTGTCCGAGCAAACATTCTCGATGCTGTGCGAGCCCTTACTGACGACATAATCGGTGACCTGGCATATCGAAGCCACCACGGTCGGCTGATCGCGATGAAATTCGTCGAAACGATTGAACAGCTCGGGAAACCACATCATCAAACCGTAATAACCGATATGGAAGGTGAAATTAATAACAATCGATATTATCGTGAAGCGAAGAATGGGCGTTACGAATAGCTGTCTACTATTCTCCACAATATCACCCAGCATGGTTTTGCATTTGCTCTTCTCCTCCACCTCGGTTTTTATCGAGTTCGATTCTTGAAAATCATCGAGTATCAGTTCTTTCACCTGTTTGGATAAATTATATTATATCATAAAAAATGTTTTATGTCCGCGAATTCAAAAATTGGCCTTACTTCCTTGTCTCTTCTTAGCAAACACAAAACATTGCAGCAACATTGTGGCAATGTTACTGCAATGTTCTGTGTTTGCTGGATTAAATTATCGCTCAATTACCGTATAAGTTTCGCGTGGTTTGCCAGTATTAATAACATATATCTTGCGAAAAATCTCGAGGGCCTCCTCGTATTTTCCGGAGGACAAGAGATACTTGGGGGATTCGGGAAGCAGCAGAAGCAGCCCCGTCACGACGAACGACGGAATAGCGCAGATCAGCAGGAAGATTCGCCAGGAGTTGTAGGTGAACGACGTGCTCGTGAAACCCATCTGTCTAGGAATGATCAGCCATGCCAGCCCTGTGAACATAAAGCGTAATGTTGAGATCGTAAATATATCAATGCGGAGTACAATATCGAAGCTATCGTAAAGATTACTTTTTTCATAAACAACAAGTCGACTTCTGGAGCGGTTTTTATAGTTCGATTTTCTTAAGTATTATTTCGATGGTTCGCGCTCCGCGAATTTCTAGATATTTATTCATGTGTACAAGTGTTATAATCACATATTAAAAATATTAATTTTACAATTTACATTTATATTTGACAAATGTTGAACTTTTACTTATTATTGCATTTACTTCTTTTCAATTATTAAAATAAATAAAATGTGCAGTAATTTAAAATTATAGAATTTCAAAAAAACTTTTACAACTAGCTCAGCTGGCTCTTGAAGTACAAAGAATTATATTAAATAATTGAATTAAGATTTTTTTATTTGTGCCAATTATAAATTTATCAAGAAATCAAGACACACGGTCGTATCTCACGCGAAAAAGATTCACGTGCAAAAGAGCGACCGTGTATCTACACGCAAGCCCGTGAGTTGAAGAGAGCCAAGATTATCGGATCTTAATAACGCCTGGACTAATCGATTTGATAATAGGCTCAATTGATTGTGCATACTTAAATTATATCATAAAAGTATATTTGTTTTTACTCTACGTGTTCTATAAATAAAATTATAATAGTCCAAAGTCGAGATGTCAAAAAATCTATTTAAGTCATCGTCATCGTCCCCAGACATCCCAATGTATGTTACGATTTTTGGACGTTGGTTGCGTTGGCGGCGCTAAGAAAATCAGCTAGCCACGCATGCAAATTTAACAGTTTTTTTTATAACCAAGCAGATTGTTAGGTTGCGCCGAGAAGTGTAAGTTAGCCGCGCTTGTAAATTTGACAGTTTTACATATTATGTACAAAGAAATTTATTATTTTTAAGTGAATATCTTTTATATTTCAGTGTTTTATATTTAAAATATATTTTTAATAATAAACAATAGAATAGAATAAAGGAGACCACAAATTAGGTCAAAAAAAAAAAATGAAATGGACAACGACTTCATGGATTTTGATGAAATTTGTAAGGAAAGTAGTCTAGGGTGAAAGAAGAAAAATGACCATAATGATTTGGTTCAGGTGCCATGATTCCCGAGTAATGGCGCCTGGAACTGGGTTCCTATCCATGACGGAACTTCCGGGCGCCAGTACTCGGGAACTATGGCACCTGAGCCAAATTGTCATGGTCATTTTTCTTCTTTTACCCTAAACTACCCCTTCCCTGCAAATTTCATCAAAATCCATGAAGCCGTTTTCCATTTCGTTTTTTTTTTTTTGGTCTAATTTGTGGTCTCCTTTCCTGCATATCTTATACATACTTTTCCACTCTCATCCTTTCAAAAAAAGAAGAAATAAAATGGATTATTATGATTTGGGAATCAATACTTAGTGGCTAACAAAATAACAAAATATAAAGATGAAAAAGATTTACACAATGAAATGCGTGCTTACACAAAGCTACTAACATTTGTAATTGTCCTAATAGCAAAAATGTCCCAGTGACATCACAGTGTAAATATAATAGTCATTATGATCTCATTGTGGTGTCACTAGGACGTTTTTTGCTATGGGGGTGAGAATCCATTTCAGAGTAAATTTACAACAATGTTTAATGTTAACAATAATAACTCATATATTTTAAAAAGTTAGATTTTAATTTGCAAAAATTTTCACATTTGACAATTTTTAACAATGACAATAAATCACAGATTGGGAAATCTGGAATGAATCGTCACTTTCACCACAACAACAATTCTATGTTAAAAAGCGGTATAATACAAATTAGCGAACGCCCAAAATATTAATTTTTTTAAAAGTTTTGTTAATATTATTACAGATTAATAAATAACAGTTAGATATAAGAGACAAGAGTAAAAGTTATACAATTTTTTGTGGAATTAAAAAAGGCATGATATCTATAAAAAATTACCTTTTTAAAAAAAGATACAAAAAGGCGCCAGGTATATGCGATTGTTAGAACAGTGTTGTATACATGTACATAAAATACTATAGAAAATATTGTACATGTAACACAATAAATATAGAACACATGTCATATTATATTTTATATATAGAAAAAACTGTCATATATTTCATCTATTAAAAAAAGCTGTTGTATATTATATTTGTATCATTTTATAAAAAATATAATATCATAAAATGGCGCCAAGTACACTACAAAAGTAGCAAATTGTTTTATATTTCATACAAAAGGTATATTATTAAATTATTAAAAGATTGATGCAAATAAAAATTTAAAAAATATTTAATGCAAAAAACATGTTAACTAACATAATGTTAATTAATGTCTTATGTTTAATATTAATGTAAACGCATATTAGATGTGTTACAGTAAATAATTAGTAACACACAAAAGAAGATAATCGACAAAGAGAGAAAAACACATTTTATAATCATTGATGAAATACTATATCGGAAACTCGTATTTTTATCTAATATTAACATTGTATAATAATTAAGTATATAATATTAAATTACATTATTATTTTTATAGTCCAGATTATTTGAGCAGCAGATGTAGCAGCGCGCCAAGTCTTTTTACATTAAACATTTTTTTTTATTTTTATTGGCACCAATTTTTTAATAATTTATAACACATTTTTAAAAATTGAACTAAAGACGATTATTCGTATTGATTTGCGTTCTTTACTGAAAAACGACTTAAATATTGAAACTTACCAGCCACAAAAAGATTTCCCAATGTCCAGAATGCCGCCATGAAGGACAGCATGGAGCCGCGCTTAGACTTGGGCTGAAATTCGGCAAAGTACGACCAGATGACCGGTCCGCTACCTCCAAGCCTAGAACATTACTAAATTTTTCAACCTTTTCGTTGCAGAGAGAAAGAGAGAGGGGGGGGGGAGGAGAGTAGAGCACATGTAAGATAAACAAGTAACGCTAATTATCACGATTACGTATTAATATTGATACTTACGCTGCACCGTTGAGAAAACGGAAAAACATGAAAAGTTCATATGTCTGACTGAAACTGGAGGCGACGATGCACAGGGCGTTCATGAACGAGATGGCGATTAGGACCTTTCGACGGCCGAGGGCGTCCGCGACGGAGCCCCAAGCATACGCTCCGGCCATCATCCCGATAAAGATGATCGAGTTGAGCCATCCCTTTGCTTGGGTGTCAAGCTTTAGGTCACATTGTGCGCTCGGCAGGATGAAGGACATGGAGATTACGTCCATCTCCTCACTCGTGCTAACGAAGCCGCATACCGCGAGCAAGAAGTAATGAAACTTGCCATATTCTGTAAATGGATGACGAGAGTGTTTTAATCCATTCATTAAAGTGATAACGATAACCGCCATCTTTTTCTTTCAATCGTGGTCGCACGTGCGCGCGCGCTTGCATTACACATAATTTTAATTACCTAAATATTTATTTTATTCTGTACCATGATTTTATACCGAAATGCTACATTTATTTTACAACTTAGCACAAATGCAAATAAATATATCGTGCAGATTTTGTTTTTGATGCTAATTATATTTTACAATAAAATTAAAAAAAGAACTTACCGCTTAATTCGATGGCTTTCTCAAAATCAGCTTGAACATAGGATCCCTGTTCTGGATCAAGAGTTTTGCCCTTTAATCCGATACCTGATCCGATACCGTAAAACAAATATTAAAAATTGAAATATATATAAAATCAATGAAAAATCGTGGTTTAATCCTTTCATGACCAAATACTTTTTGCTTATAAATTTTGGAACTAAAATGTATGCCAAATTAATGTCTTTATGTCTCTCTCTTTAATTTCTTTCTAGTTTTTGAAGAATAATATATTTAAGATACGCTAGTTCCATTAAACTCAAAGAAATAAAACTGTAAGTAAAAAAAAAAATATTCTATGCATATAAAGATGAATGTAGAATGGAATACCGGTTTTTGAAATTTATACCTACGGGCAAGTTCGAGTTCCTTGGAACCGCAACCGTTTAGCCGCTCGTCTTTTACATCACACTCTACAATATGAAATTAAAATCTATAAAATGCGATTAACGAGGAGAAATTGTGCGAAATTTAAATCGGTACGTACTAATATTGCACTTTGTGTCGGATTCACCTTCTACCATTCTACGATGTCGGCGCGGGTGGGTGAAGCTGCCTTGGTTAAAAGAATCAGATATCGAGAGCTCGCGTTCGACGGAAAATCTCGTTGAGCGTCAGGCCGTTGTAATTGTTGCCGATTGATAGATCTGGACGAAGTCTTCCTGCTGAATCTGCGCTGATCTGCTGCTGTTCGTCGGCGGGACTGGGTTCTGTACTCGCTCGTGAACTGAAACATACCGAATAAAGATTAAACGTTTTTAACTTATTTCAAACTTATTTTTCAAAAATCAACATTAAAATTTTATTTTATTTATGTCTTGTGTATCTGTCGAAATTTTTGTTTTTATATATTATTCATGCCACTACGCTATATTCGACAAAGATAAAATTATATAAATTTGTCTAACTTCGAATGCACGTGATATAATATTCCTGAAGCACTAGTTATTAATTCAACACAGTGAACTGACATTCTTGCGTCTGAACCTGCACAATTTCACAATGAGACAATATCGCATGTGTCGCTAATACAAGTTTGAGTGTAATTACCGTGTAATCAGAATGATAACGAAATAAGTCCGAATAGACAAACTGAGCAGGAAACTTTATCGTCTGAGCCGTTTCGTGTCTTTCTTTCAAAGTTTTCCTTTCTCAATAGTAGTATTAACCAATAAGTATATCATTTTATGTTTACGAGCTTCGTATTGAATGTTAAATAACATCACATTTTTTCCTTCTGTGTATACCTACAATCTTTGATACTTTGAAATATGCCAAAATACGAGCTACAACAAATGCGTAATAATTACTCCTTACGTCAAGCAAAATAACGCATGCTTCATCGTTTTGCATAATATAAACTTTTCGTTCTCGGCTGATCTTGCGATATGGATTATGAAGTAATGATATTTACAATTTATTTGCGGTTTTCAAGATGCGTTCGAGTGTCCTTGATACATGAGCATTCGAGTGTCCTTGATACTCGAGAAAAACATCGAACGCGCGTTATAACTCTGTATCGCGATCATTTTAATTATTATTAGTTCCCACAATTCTATTACAAATTACTCTATAAACCGTCGTGCGTAACGCCTCCCGCGTTTTAATCTGCATTCGAATATAACATCATCACTAGTCATTAGTTCGATAAAATCGACAGAATCATGGCAAATTAAATGTAAATATTGAGCGAGTTATGATGTCATAAATAACAAGGAATAAAATAGCAAAAAAAACAACTTGAACCAATAAAAATTAAAAAACAATCGGCTTAAAGATTATTATAAGAGCAATAAGATAAACCGTTTTCAAGAACAAAAAAAGAAAATTAAAATCTCAATATACGCGGAGTGTTTCCAAAGTTCTGGGAATTTTGTTTGAAATTCGATAATTTATCAATTTTCGTCTATGTAACACTACACGGAGAAAATTTTATATCAAAAATTACTATGTACGACATTAACCGCGGACCATAAAGCCGCGGACCAAAAATGTTTACTATGTTTCACATATAAAAAACATAGTAAAAGTTTTTATAATTCCTTCATAGTCCGCGGCTACTACCGTACATAGTAATTTCTGATATAAAATTTTCTCCGTGTATAGTTTTTCAATTTCCATTTAATTGCATCTGTTCCAGCGTGAAATTGGTTTTTAAGCCTTTTTCACAAAACTTTTGTGGAATGTCTTTTAACCCACTAGTTTATAACACGTTTAATGAAATCGCACACCGCAAGTGGAAGTTCTTTCAACTCAGCAAACAAATGAAAATCGCTGAGTACCAGAAAAAATAAGTACGCTAGATATGAGAGTAATTCCCAGTACAGATCATTGAATACTTTTTCAGTTTGGCGAGTAGTATTTTACAGCATTTTTTATATTTACAATATTAACACCTCAGAAATATACATTGAATGTAGTTGCTTAACGACCAAACAATACTAATCGCCATTGGCCGGTATCGTAAGACAAATATGTCAAAACTTGTGCATGTACGCAAATATTGGTCAATAGTCTTTTGTTTTTAAATCAGAGCACAATTCCCAGAACTTTGGAAACACTCCTTGTATGTATATCAGAAGCTAATATTAGATGTTAATAAAAAATAATAAATTATTTAATTGTTATTACTTAAAAGATTAATTAGAGAATAGATGTACGATAGATATATAGAATCCATGTGACAATGAGAAAAAAAAAGTTTCGACCGTGACAGGACTCGAACCTGCAATCTTCGGATCCGAAGTCCGACGCCTTATCCGTTAGGCCACACGGTCATATCGAAGGGTTGTTTCTCAAGAAAAGTATTTCTATGTTTGGAACGCGTTTTACCCTCTCGTATTATTGATTTAGCTCGGAGATTTAATAAAACTTGACACTTGAATTTTTTATACATTAAAAATAACAAATGCCTAAGTATTACTACGGATAACACGTAAAATATATAATAAATTAGTTAATAATGATACATACGTGATATAATTAATTTTTTATTATACATAATTATTATCATTTATTAGAAGAAAAGCGGCAAAACTGATACAGATTTTTTTTTAATATTTCTATTTTTCAACAATTAAATATTTTATTTTATTAAAAGTTAATATAAATCTAATCTGTTTATAATTAGTTAATTCATTGAAAATCGATAGCTATATATTTCTTATCTTTTATACATAGTTATATATATTTTTATTAGTATTTTTTCTCTAGTACATTTCTTATATTTGCATAACTTTTCTCACGATTAAATGTAATTTAAGAAAAACCTTTATAATTATATTTAATTATAATTATATTTGTAACGAGATTGGTAAATGAGATTTAGTTAAGAAATTTGACCGGTCGTTTATATCGTCGATCTTGTAAAGAGAGAAGCTCAATAATGTAATTGCGAGGAGGGCGTTTTGCGATTTTAACACCACTCTAGAAAATGACACGACATCCTGTACCAAATACTCGCTAATAAACGAACATCACGCGCATCTTTTCGTAACGATACGAATGTTTTCTCAAGATTCAAAATTAACTGATGGTAAATCTGAACATTAAATTTCTCCAAAATCAAACAGTTGAAAACATGAAGTAAAAATTACATATTTTTTAATAAAATAGTTGATATTTTTAGTTATTATGCAATTTAATATTCATAATATTGTAGATGTTGAAAATTTCAGAGAATTCTGTACGAAAAAGCAAAGTGACCATATGTATAATTATTATCGGCGAAGCGATGTGATTGAGATATTTGCATGATTTACATTCAATTGTGAAAAAATTAATATAAAACTATAATTGTAGATAATTGCGAATATAAATTATCTACACAGCAGAAGCCGCTATCAGTTTTAAAATATCGTATTTGTGAGAGAATAGGCGAACATATGCCAACTGTGACTTTATTGAATATTATCTTTATATTACATTAGCTCGAATTAATTTATTTATTCGTAGCATATTATCACAAAACAGTAAGAAGGTTGGAATATAGACAAAGATAGATTCAAGTAGCTAATGCTATATACAATGTATTTTACAAATACATACGTACATTATTAGAAAACAGTCAAAAAGATAGCAAAGCTGTGTATGACAATGTTAAAAGATGAAATATGAATCAATCGATGAATTTTTACTATTAGAATAATAATTACTAAAAAATTTCCGTTAATTATATTGTTTAGTATATTGTTATTAGTTAAGTATATTGTTTAAATAATAATTACGTTAATGAAAATAAAATTCTCTTCCCCCCTCCCTCTCTTTCTCTCTCTTATGTCGATGATATCATTTCCACTCACACCTATTTTTCAAATATTATTCACAATTCGTAATGTATTACATACAATAATACAATTGGTTAATCATATATTAACTTGAATATAGTGTCGTCGTAATGGAAAGTTTTCTATAACTTAGCACCTGTACAAACGGCTCTTTTGACAAAAGTACAAATAAAAATCATACTTTGATATTTTCGTATACGTACGCCGTAGTGATAAGACGGATCCATTTGGAAGGTCGCGCGACGCTGAAGAGACGACGCTAATAATACGCGCGAAAAGGAAACAAGGTTGCGAAGCGTACTAGAAATCTCTTGAATCTCTCGTTAAAGTACGCTGCACTGATAGATCGAGTAATTTGTAATTATCATTAGTTGTAATTATCAAACAAAAGTGGTATAATCAATCTGACATTGCAAGAGTATTAACAATGTTAACAATGCGAAAAGAGGCATAGAATGCCTTGGACATGGCATTATAATTGTTAGACTTGGTAGCGCAAAATAGAGTTTAATATTGATATAATGTGTGTTTTAATGTTGCAGAATGAAGTAATGTTTGATCTTTGATATATATATATATATCTGACACTTACTCTGATATAGCGTTTCTTTTAATAAAATCTTGCGCATGTATCTTGCCTGCGAATGTATTCGATAAAACGTTCTTCCGTCAAGAATGCCTTTTATCTCAAGAGACTTTAAATAATGTAATTTTTTTTTGCACACTCCTGCAACTTCTTGGAGAATAATTTTTCTTGTACAAGTTTTTCCGCCGCCTTGAGATAAAAAATATTTTAATTCACTCAACTGTTTCTCGTTAAAAAAGGTGTATTACAACCGATCGCGAAACATTTCGATGTCATCAGTAATGCACGTCTCCTTTCAGCAAGTCGTTCTCGCAAAGATTATCAAGCGTCGCGGTTTGGTGGTTAAAATTGAAGGCATCGATTCTAATACGTACACAAATGTAACAACAGTAGTTTGATTGTCCACGATAGTGTTCAATAAATTCAAGGATCGCGAATCGTCAGGATATGCACTGTGCTCGAAATTATATGACTAACACCGAAATTACGGAAATCGCGATTTCTTAGCTCGTCGTCTCCAATGTGATTGTAATGTCGAATGTCAGCCGCGAATCGGCAATTTAATGATGCTTGACCCGCGCGGAGTTTGCGGACGAAATGAGCGCCGAGAGCGTTGAAATGCTAAAAGAGAGCTACCTGCCACCTCCCACTGATATAGACCAATATTATCGTCGGCGGTAGTGGCCATCGTCCACGTATGTTTCCGTCTGAGGAAGGAGGAGGAGGGCAAGGTGCAAGGATGTATCCTGCCCGGGAATGAAATCTCAAAGCTTGTAGATTTCTCGACAGTTTATTGACAAATTCAAGTAATTATCAATAATGTATCATTCAAAAAAAATGAAGAATAATCGAAAAATGGTACATTATTTCTTGTGATGTTTCTTGAAAAACAAACCACAACTGATTGGTGGATAAGTATCCATCGATTTTTCCCATGGCTCGAGTAAAACCACTTTTATGTAAGATTCTTACTTCTAACTTTCCTGAGAACACTTGATCAATTTATACAAATGCGAATAGTATCAGATAAAAAAAAAAAAAAAGATTTACGTATAATGACTGATGTATAATGCAAGAAAAAAATTATTATAATAATTTCTTGTTTCTGATGTCATAATGCACCATAGTTGCAATAAAGAAACAGGAACCTTGAGTGTATAAAAATACTGACCGCTGCGACACATGATATTTATCGCATCAAGGAATGGAAAATATAAAAATAAGGAATAAAGGAAAAGTTTTCTTTAGCAATAACTTTACTTCAGCAAATAATGCAAAAAAAATATAATAATTTTTCCATTCTGATGTCGTAATGCATTATAGTTGCAATATTATTAAGGAACCAGATACTTGTAAGATATAAAAGGTTACATAGCACCAAGACGTGAAAAGAATAAAAATACAATATAAGACACAACGAATAGCGTGAATTGAACCTACTGCGAGTATCGTTACGCGCACATGATTAATCAAAGAAATTATTATTGAACACGATCCAACCCTTGGTGGCGCACGAACGATATCAAGATCCTCGAAAGCAGTTTCAACCGGTTACGTAAAGCTGAGAAATAAATTCATGCAGCGGTTTCAACCGGTTAAAATTTAAAGAAATGAAACGCTTGCATCGCCACCGTCGGGGTGGTCACATGACACGGTTCTTCGACACTTACAGCTTTGTTTGTCGAACTTTTTTAGATTTTCATGCTAAACGAACGGTTTTAACCTGAGATCCATTCGCACATATGATTGCTGCAAATGCACACTGAGAGAAAAAAATCATTGCAATAATGCATAATTTATAGTACTTTTTGACGCTAACCATATTTTCATAGATATTCTAACTGTATAGTTGATTATATGATTAACAGTGCCATACGGTTATTATTGCTAATGTTATAGTAACAATTTCTATAAAAATGAGTCTGATTATAATTATAGTCCCATACAATTATAGTTCCAAATATCACATACTTTTATCTCAGTGCAATCGACAATTCCCGAGGTCAACGACGCATATTGTCAAAATATTTTCGGCTTATTATAACACAAGCACCTTATCACTTATTGACTTAATCAGTAAAAAAGGCGATTTTATTGAAAAAAGTATATTTACCTCATATATTATTAGCTACTATATCTCGGTATTCCAAAAAAAGTTAATGTAAATTGTACACAAGTGGGAAATTAAAAATTCAAGGAACTTCTATTTCTGTTTCAGTAAAAAAAGATGAATATTGACACAAGTTAGAAGTAATAATTGAGCAAATTTAATAATTTTACATATTTTAAATTTAAATTTTATATTGTATATTCCTTATTAATATTGAATTTCCGTTGTGAGATTTTTACACGTTGGTCCTACGTGGACTAATAAATTTAACAAAATTTATTTCTTCCGTACTAACAACCGCAGTCGGTTCTTTATGTCAAGTATGATTTCAAAATTCTACTCTTGATTTAACAAAAAAGTTGAATATTAATAACAGTTGAGAGAGAGAGAGACTGGATAATTTTAATAATTTTATGTATCTTATCACACAATTATATCACGCATATTGCATTTTGGTCAACTTTCGATTAACAGCAGTCGTAAAAATTTTCAGACGCTCGAACTTTATCAATTGTAAAGTAAATAATTATAAAAGCACTAATAAAATAATAAAAAAGTTCAAGTTAGAAGAATAATTGTCATTTAACGACATCGCTTAACTCTCGTCCACTGACATATCCATTCTCCGAGACGCGCTTAAAATTAATTATAAGTTCTAAAGAAAAAGAGTGAAACTTACAGTTTGGGTAGGTTGTGCCAAGCTTTGTGAAGTGTTCGCCCGAATTGGGGAACTACCAAAGTGAGACGACAAATCGCAAAGCTTATATAGGGTAATACTAACCCACATTGACTTTCCCCACCACCTCAATACGCGACAAATAATTTCTACTGCTTGAAGCATTGTGTTAGAATAGTATCGAAAAATAAAGGAACGCGTACACAAAGAGAGAGAGAGAGAGAAAGAGAGAGAGAGAGAGAGAGAGAGAGAGAGAGAGAGAGAGAGAGAGAGAGAGAGAGAGAGAGGAGAAGGGGCAGACAGCAAATTGTGGTATTTAACGACAGAGAGGGGGGTTGATCGGGATATTTCTCAACATAAAAGAATCTTGAATATCTCGATTAATTCAGGATGAAAAAACACATCCATAGAAGAACGTAAAGTTTGGATGACTGATCTTTGTTCGGAAAAAATAAATTCAAAATCAAACAAATTTTATTCTCTTGTGAAATTTGCAAATTACCGGCCACCCTGTATAACCACTATATTCCACTGTGCATTTGTTTCGTTCCGTTCCGGTTGACAAAACATATGTTCCACGCGCGCAGACGTCCGTGCGTGACGACCCGTGTTAACACCTAATTTCGCGTTTCCACTCATTGCGCAATCTTCGCGTCTCCGTGAGAGAAGACATCATGTTCATGCATCTCCGTTGATTGTACGCACCGTGCGACAGGTGTCGACGCGATATCATTGCAATTTGTGCATTACACTATATCGTGGACGCTCTATTGATAAATTAACAGTTAAACAGTGAAAAATTTATGTCCTTATAATTTATGTCCTTATACTATATATTTCCTTTCCTCAATTTTTTTACTCGCGTCTCGATGAACGGACACTATTATTATATCAAGACCGAATTTTAACACGTAAAACACATACTTTTCTACATATCATTTCTCACAGGTGCTTGAGGTGGTAGAGTTTCCTTTTGCAGGATTTATTACAATGAGCGGATAACAAGGATGTGAGGAATATAATACACACAAGTTTTATGCATGGTTTCTCACGGATTTATTTGGTGTAAAGTGTTGACCGCGAGAATTATATCCATTGCCATTAAATGCAAATGATGCATGCATGATGATATTAGGCGGTGCACCTTCGCTTTTTTCCATTTTCAAATAAACTCTTTTGACATTTAACATGCTAAAAATAGCAGAAGCAAAGAAATTATACGTTCAATTAAGTCATTATATTGTATTTGCTTTGAATATCAAAACTGCTAATTATACTCCGTTTGCATCGCATACATTTCGTTTTTTATTGAGCTTACTTCCACGTGTGCGTTTCATCCATATACGTTGATTAATGAAAGTGAATATCACCAAATCCACATTAGTTGAGTCATTAGTAATTACACAATGTTACGTATATATTTCAGTCGTTGACATTTTCCTTACTTATTCTGATTGGCCTTTTGAAATTATTTCGTCAAGTGCTAGAGAAATACAATGTCGCGATTGATTTATAAGATCAATTAAACAGAGATATGAGAGCGATTCGAAACTTGGAGGAAAATATATAGTCGCTAATTACGCAGTAGCGGCATTAATCATCTACATTAACAGACTTGGAAAAGATGTATACTGATACTGAAGATTCCGAACCAACGGAAACGCGATGTTTGCGCGTATGTTTGTCCTAAGTATTACCACAGGATTTAACCAGGCGCCAAATTGGAGAATTCAGCTTTTTGCGTTACTCTTTGCGCTACCATGAATCATCGTTTTATAATTGTAATTATATCTCAAAAATCTCGTACGAAAATATTTTGCCCGATTTTGGAGTTCTATTTCGTACTTTTCGGAACGTACATTTAATTCAACATCCGATAATTAATTCATTATCTTCTTATTTACTCGACAGTATTTACAATTTGATTAAAATTGCCTATATTAGACGAATATTGTTTAACTTATTCGTCGTAACTCATTTATCGAACCGATAGAACGACGAATACGAAAATGCGAGTTCTTGTCGTCTCTAAACCAAAATTAAATATAGCATGCAAAAATCATGTCATTGATTGTATACAACATACACAAAGACCATCATCGATTTTCTTCTCTTACCTAAAAAAAAAAATGTATTTTTTCTGCGCATCCTCTTTGCTTTAATTTCTCATTTTATATGTTTTCATATGTGGCTCATATATCAGCTCTTATAATGTGCAGCAGAAAGATTTAAATTTACAATGTAAAGGTAGCTATTTACAATGGCGTTATATAATAGCATATTATGCATGTGAATCAACAACATTCGTCCTTGTGTTGAATATACTTGCGTGTATAGCACGATGCGTACGGACTGATACCGTCTTTTTATTTGATAGTTGGCGCGAAAATACGACAATTCTGTTATACATAAATATTTCGTGAAACACTTTTAAAATATATCAATTTTTCGTAAAACATTCATAATGATATTTTGTTTCACAATTTTTTTTGTTGCTTTACAAAAATAAACGAGAAAGATTATTCTATACAACAATTCGCATTTACTCGAGGAAATTTGCAAAAAATTAAAAAAAAACATTTTTGTAATATAAATAAATATTATTTTAGGTGTATTATACAAAGATTTTCATCAATAGATTCTTATAATATAGTACTTATAAACCATGACGGCAATATTTGAAGACAAAGTTTAATACATAAAGTGAAAAAGTGGAAAGAGTGCGTTTTGGACTGCCGCTTCATCACAACACTTATCGCACGTTCCTTTATCCGGATTAACAAGTGTAATCTAGATCAATGTAAGATTAACTAGATCACGCTATAAGTGTGATGCTGTTGCTTAACTGCCTATCTTAAAATGAAGAGAACCGTTTTTCTGCGTTATATATCGCACACCGGTGTTGTAAATAAGATCACGTGTCCGATAAAACGACCATATATCTGCCAAAGTTCTGTCTTCAGAGACAGAACAGGATATCGCTATCTTTGGTGATACATTTAGCTCGAACTAGAGGAGAATGAAAAATTAAATTTCGTAAGAATCCCTCTCTCTCTCTCTCTTTCTCTAAAAAAGTTTTCCATCAATTACTCTGTTCCTTGAAACGCTATGTACGCAAGTATACGCGCAAATTCAAGTCGAATCTACGTCCGGATACGAATGTACATACGTACGTATATTCACTCGTGCTGCGCGAATTAAGCGAGTAGTGACTCATACAGAATGCTGACGTCATCATCGGCGTGCTCGAGGGGCAATCAACCGGCAAAGCAATGCAAAAACGTGTTGCAGATTGAGCGAGTACCGCGTAGCGCACTCGGTTGTGTTATACCATCGCGTAGATATCGGCATTATATCCGAGAGTAGGCGCATGCAGGAAATTCTTGCTCCGGCGAAGAAGCGCGCAATCACGATCGCCTCTCGCAAACTTTAAAGGACTCAGCAGAAGCTGTGCACGCTCGCACACTGAGGCCAGCAGCCTGTATTCATGTATTCTTGAAATTTCTCTAAACCCTCTAAATTGCTTTCTTTTTTAGACAATATGATGAACTAAAGTAGTTTATGTTCAAATAGTTTACTTTATATTAAAATATATATACAGGGTGTTCCATTTAACCGCATCACACGGTAATGATACATTCCTAAGGTCATTTTGAGATGAAAATCCTAATGCCAAAATGTCGAAACTACAATAGTTTTTAAATAAAAAGCGTTTAAAGTTAACAAAATTGCTCCGATATCGCGCGCTCAGGTGTAGAAAAAAAAGGATACTGAAGATATCTGAAGATACTGAGAATATCTGAAGATATCTTTATTACTGTGTTACATATCGTGCCTAAGAGCGCGAATTCAGAGCAAATTGATTGATCAACTCTAAATGCTTTTCATAAAAGCTATTGTAGTCTCAACATTTTGGCGTTAGAATTTTTATCTCAAAATGATCTCAGGAATGTATCAATACCGTGTGGTGCGGTTAGTACGGGATACCCTCTCTGTGTGTGTGTGTGTGTGTGTGTGTGTGTGTGTGTGTGTGTGTGTGTGTGTGTGTGTGTGTGTGTGCGCGCGCGCGCGTAAGTATATGTGTATTAAAAAACTAATAATCTATGTTTCACAGATTTGAAATTAAATTTAAGAAACAAATAATGTAAATTACTTCCTTCTTATATTCTATCAAACTGAGAAGAGGAGTCAAAATTAAGGCCGTAAAGTATTGTAATTTTTGTACATTGATATAATATAACAATTTTGTGCTCTGACAACTGCGCTTCTAGTTCTCTTTGTTTGTTTTTAAAAAACCACATTTCAATTTTAATGTAGATTATTAACATTTTCACGACCGTCGTATATTCAATTCTGCTCAACGCTTGGAGCCGCTCTGTTATATTGAAATGATATATTGATATAAAATGCGACATTTCATATTACACGACCTAATACAATGATGCAAAAAACAGTAAACGTAAAATTACGTGACCAGCTCCTGACTCATACCAAAATATAAACGTAAAAATACGTGAGCAGCCGCGAAAGTGTTAATTTAGACCATTCGTTTACTATATTTAAACTTTACGTCTAAATCTAATATCTGAATTGTTTCATTAACTCGGTCTTATCCTACTTATTGTTAGCAAAAAATATCGTATTAAATTCAAATTCGTCCAGAAACCTGTAAAATGTGTCTCAAGTACTTGTAGAAGATCTTACATTTCGTTACGAAATATCTGGATGTATAGATCCGGTATACAGATAATGAACTCACCTAATCATAATATCTCGAAACGGAACAGAGTCAAACTCGCGGAAGCTCATTCAACGGAAGAGAATACGAGGAAACGACGCGACTGAACCCTTCAAACACTTCATCCACCGCGGTGTCACTTGTACTTTCTACAGTGATATCATACACGCGCGACTTGGCGATGCGTCCATAGAGACATAACTAAATCACGGAGGGGTCAGTTCGCGGTGAGTATGTCTGTCAATCTGTTTCAGCAGGGTTAGTATTACTGCAATTCCAGGGACGTCGAAATCGGGCGAATTAAATCATACACATGTCTTATGTCGGCTGTAAGTTTTCCACATTTTTTTATTACCCACAAATATGGCGAGAAAACAATTGTTTCTTAAAGAAATAATTGATTAGAGAATAAATTAATTCATATTAACACGCGGCGCCAGTCTAATGATGTCAATTAAACAGTAGCACTTTAAAAATTCGATTCTTAATGATCTCACGAGCGTGTCTAGTTTTCCATCGCGAGCGATTTCTGTAATAATTAACGCGAAAAATGACAATTTGCCATACGATGCAAAAAAAGAAGAGATCGAGAATGGGCCCGACTTCTGCACTCCTACACCCTGACTCGTGTTAGATTACTGTAGAAGGCTTTATCCACTTTAGTCACCGGCTGTCAAGCAATCATCCTATTGTCGTACTGTAATATCATGAATGACGGTAAGAAAATGCTACAACACCGAGAGAGGCAGGCGGTCGTCGCGAGTTCCCCTGAAATATTGCGTGCCGTTCGCTCTGCGCTATTCCCACGGTTCGTTTTACGCCGCGAAAACCGTATACACGTATAACAATATACATCAGTTAAAATTAATGCTCAGAAGTTTTTAATTTCTAATCTAAACAGTACATATGTCCGAACAGTTCGAATTTAAATTTACTAAAATTAACAAAATAAAGTTATCAATAATGCCTTCCACATTTCCGGTTTAGAATTTTTCAGACTATGTATACTGTATTTAAATTTATGCATCATAATTCAAGATTATATTTGATAGTTTAACATATTCTTATTTTGTATTTAATTTAAGAGTTGCGTTTTATTGGTTTTGTAATAACACTGATGAAGGTCTGATGACAAGCTGAAACGTTTGTTTTTAATGTAAATGTTTAATGGTTATAAACTAATACACGATAACCTTCGCACGAATATCTGGCTGTTGGCTCTTTACGCTCCTATCGAATATTATTGATTTTAACAATCATCAGAGCCTGATACATCTACAATTTTTAGAAAATTAAAATATCAATATCAGCTTATACATTAAGCAAATTAATCGATTAAATTATAATGTTAGATTGTTTACCAATAATCACGATGCATAAATATCTAAATATGATGCATTCGATCCGAAAAGTCGGAAAATTAAGTTATTATTAATTATTATGACCTAACAACTCAAACAAAAAATTCAAATGTATGCGAATATATTTTGTGTATTCGAACAAAAAACATAAAGAACGTAAAAGTTTGAACAATTTAAACGTAAGCAGAAGTCGATTTGTAATGTTTGAAGATTCGAGCAGTTCGAACAGTGAAAAAAATTGGAGCAAAAATAGTATGCATTAGAAACAGAAAACAATTTTTTGTTTTTACAAAATTTTACGCAGAGTTGATATCACGTCAATATTGGCATTCTTCATTATATCTTCTGTACATTTGATAAACTTACAATTAGATTGCAAAATGTGTTGACGTTTTAGAGCTAAAGTTTGTTCAATCAGACCTAACAATCCAAATTGTTTGATCTATTTCGAGATCCGAACTATTCAAACTGTTCGACTATCTAAAATTTGCGATCTATTTTTATTTTCAATTTTTGTCTATATCGCTTCAATTGTCGCTTGAATTATCGCTTGAACAATTTATGATAGTAGGCGCAATAATTTACGACAACAAATAATTTACGACGTTGTACAATCAATAATGTTCTTCTTGTTACATCATTCAAGATTGTTGGCGCAGTGGTCCGTATTCTCTTCCTGTCCTGGTTTTCGTTACTCCAAGAAGCGCGACGCGGTAGTACAATTTGACCCTATCAAATCCCATTTACACGTAACTCACTTTGTCGATTATTATTCTCGTCCGGTGGCGATATTTCAACGTCTTCGGCGCTTATCCTGTATCTTGA